AAGCAGGACGCTTGAAAATATTCCTTTCTTCTGCAAACGTCGTCTTGCCAACCAAAGACAGGACAGCCTGCAGAATCCGCATCATTAAAAACCCTCCCTGTCAGCAGATGATTAGATAAAACTGCAGCTTTGGAGGAAATTTGGCGTTCTTGCTGACGACTGAGTTGTGACGTCTTGGTGAAGCCAAGCGGCGTGTGGGCTCCTGCTGGGGGAAGAGCTTCTTGGAGCTGGGAGGTACCTCTCCCTGCCTTCCAGACTCATCCCAGCTCAGTGAGTCAATTGCTTGAAACACGTTTCCTGATTCGGTGTGAGGTCGAACTTCATCTGGCACGGCCGTAGCTGTACTTACCTACAAAAATAGAAGGGCATAATTTACTAGAAATGTTGGACGTGGGAGGGAAGGGAGCAAAACGTCCTTGGAATTGCAAGAATTGTGTGAGAAGTCAGTTCTCCTTGAAAGACTAGAAGTGGGTTGTGACAAACAGTGGGGGTGATGCAACGTGTTCCCCTTTTCATGGCCTTTTTATGTCCGAGGCAAATGGGATCATTTCTGAGGGTTTCTCTGTCCCCTTTCACTTCTGCATTAATGCGATGTTTCGAAACCAAAGGAGAGGTCAGAGACTCTGAACAGGGAAAGGCAGGTGCTGCTTGGTAGCTCAGAGCATTTTAAAATCTCAGGAGAAATGGCTCACAGATAAAGCTAATGCTCTTTTGGAATGTAGGTGAAAAAAAGAGTCATGCTTGATCAAGACATGTATTATTGTGGATATTATTGGCTTCCTGACAGAACTCTCAAGTTATTTTTTAAAAGAAAGCTCAAGGAGTTGAGGAAATAGACCTAGAAAAAAAGGCTTTCTCCATCTGTCACATGTAACAGATGGACATAATAGGAAAAAAAACATTATCTATTTGTTTTGTTGGTTTTTTTTTTTAAGATGCTTTCATCTCAGTGTTGGGAATCATAACGTGGGGTAGCAGGAATAAGATGCTGCTGTGCTCAGGGAGGAAGCAGGATTACTTAGTAAGGTAACCATTTGAAGGGATAATTAAGTGATGGTGCCAAGGCATAAATAAATGAGGAATTTTTTTGTTAAATGATAGGAGAGCTTCTGAACTAATAAGGTGGTGGAAATAATGTTTGCAGCAGTGATTTCAAGTAGGCTTCCCGAGAGCCAATGTGTCCTCCCAGGGTTTTGGCTTAGAGAAGGTGTATTAGATTTTGAGTCGTCGAACTGCTGTTGATGTTGAGGAGTGTCTGACCGTGCGTGTGCTTAGCCGGCTCCACATATGGTGAGCTGCATAAATGCATGGAATTGCGCTAGTTTATTGCCCAAATGGCAGGTATTTCCATCGCACGTGAGGACTAGCAGCCTGCGTTTATCCCGATGACTTGTCCTTTTGGATGGGATGCCCACCTGCCTTCTCTGCAAGAGCATTTCCTGCTGTCTTAGGATGGCTGTGCTGAGTTTGGGAAGTAGTGAACAGAAGGGTGGTGGAAGCAAATACGGAATGGCTTATTTAGAGTAGTTGATGAGACCAAATCACTGGATATTCTGTTTCTAGGAAGGGGTTAGCAGGGATTAAGTCATGCCTGCTGATTTTACAGCATGTTGTGCGTTCTCCGTTTCCTTGACCACAGAAGATCTCTGCTGGGTGTTCCGCAGATCTGCCATGACTTGGTTTGTTACCTGGCAAGTTCATGATCTGGGGTGGGTGCAGTGTGAGTTGCTACCCAGAGTTTTCTCCAAATGAACTACTTGGTTTGGAGACTTCCTTCACCATGCTTTCCTTGAGCCTTGTTCTCACACCCTTATCCCTTCTGTTGGCTTACTCTTTTTGCTGAAATTCAAATAGTTTCTTAGTTTAGTTATTGTATAACCTTTTTCCAGTTACTGTTCCGTGTGTTTCTATACCATCTCCTCCTCCCGAACAGATTTTTGTGCGGAAGCTTTAAGCGAGTTGCTGCCTTTTGTGATGTGAATCGTCTTGGTAAGCCCTTTGCATAGGGCTTTCCTAATCATGCTCCCAGAGCTCCACGCACCTGGCAGTAGTCTCTGGAACGAGCTGGTAGATCTTGCTTCGGGCAACTCCACCAGACCAGTTACAGCAGTTGGGTTTCTCAGTCTTCATCATTGTATGAAAATGACAGTATTGTGAAAGAGAAGCTGATGTGCGTTAGATTTTGCAACCTGATGGAAGGAGGACTAAAGTTTTAGGAATTGGGGATTGTGTGTAAGTGGTGGGGAAGAATCTCTCGTTTCTCTTTCTCATGTATGAGGAGTGAACGACCTGAGCTTTGGAGCGATGCTGAGTCACAGAATGTCAGGGATTGGAAGGGACCTCAAAGGATCATCTAGTCCAATCCCCCTGCTGGAGCAGGACCACAGATCACACAAGAACGCGTCCAGGCGGGTTTGGAACATCTCCAGAGAAGTCTGTGGAAACCTTCAGTTTGCTTTTTGTTGAAGCGTTGAGATTTGGTTTCCCTCGTAGGGAAGGTATGATGGAGAGAGAAGACAATCTTAGGAGCAAGTTGGGAAGTGCTGTGCTTGTATTTAGCAGGTGCTGTTTTTCTTCTGCATGCACTGACACGCGTGGAAAGATAATGATACTTGTGTCTCTTGCTGTTTGGTTGGCGTGAATACGATCTCGTGTCAGCCCTGCCCGTGCAGCCATATAGCAAAGCATTTGCCAGGTGTTTCGAGTTGTATTTTTACCCACCACGTGGGCATAGGGGCTATAAAGTGGATATATTCCAGAAGAGAAAAACTTGTGTCTCCTAAATAGTCAGTTAAAAGAATTGGGATTTTGTTTGGTGGGGTTTTTTTTTCAGTTGTTTTTTCTTCAGAGTTGGTTTGAACCTGGTCTGGCAACAAATGCAGGTGGCTGGAGGGGTGGAAGGTGAAGGCAATTCCCTGAGCAGCATAAGCTTCTCCCACTGGGAGGCAATTTCGATTGAAGATTCGAATCTGGTGTCCGTGCCTAGGGTGAAATGCAAACGACTGGGTGCATGTTAGCAGTGGCCTGTAAGAGAATATATGCAAGCCATATGTTTCCTCTTCGTATTTCTGGCTCTTACTTGCATTTAGTAGCTGACCGCACTGGTGGTGTTTTGGTGTCCATGTGAACGTACGTGGCTCTTCACCTGTACCATCCTGTGATCCCTGGTAGTCCAGCTAAGTGCTTCTTCAGGAGAGTTGGAAAACAGGATTAATCCGGAGGCCTGTGGGAAGGGGAGGATGCTGCTTGCTGCTCCCTCGTAGCAAGGGAGAGTGAGAGCAGGAGCGGGTCCGTGTGAATCTCTCACCAGCTGGACTTGTGGGATCTGTCCAATATGCCAAGATGCACCTGCCCAAAAGAACGTGGGGAACTCGTTCTTGATCTCCACTTCCAGAATGTTTTCTTCTTCCGTTGCTCTTGTTCAAGTCTAAACTGAGCCTGACTGAACTGTTAGGGGTTTTGTCCTACGTGTGGCAACTGACAGCTTCTTGATTACCTGTTGAGTGTTTTGGAAAGACCAGTTTTTATTGTGTTCTTCAGTGTTCACTGTGTAGCTGCTAGAGCCGTTGGCATTCAGGGTTGTAGACACGAGTCATCTTCATTTATTTTCTGTTGATGTAGGGTGGCGTGGTGGGAAGAGGAGATGGAGGATTTTTAGAGTGCTCCAATGTGGCAGTGTAGCTACATCAGCATTGCCCCAAAGATAAGCTACGACCCTTGCCAGTTCAAACAGGTAGTTCATGTATTTGGTGAACTGGGGAGAATCCTTATGCCCACTAACAGAAATTTCTCTTTGGTAGAAAGGTGGTGAAAAATTGGCTAAGTATTTTATGTAAAAGAATGAGACCTGAATTGTGTTGGTAATGAAAATTCTGCTGTCTAGGTTTCAGATCTTTCCATTGGAATTCAGAGCTCAGTTTTCCTTTTCTGACATCAATCTTTTCTTAGCTTGTACACTAAAAAATTCACAAAAACTGGCTTATATGGCACTTTGCTACAAATACTGAATTTTACATGTCATGTTTTTGATATGTTAGGGGTTCATGTGCCATCCAGGCCCACTGCCATCATTTAAAATTTAAATGCCTTAAATTTTTTCTAAGTCAGTTTGTTTTTCAAATAAAATTAGAGCTAAGAAGGTTATTTGTATGAAAGTTTCTACAGATTTTATCCTTATTTCTCACCTGACTGGTGGACTGAAAGGTCTGTATGCTGTGAAACCAGTGGAAAATGACGTAGTTTGTGGAAAATGTGGAATTGTATCAGTCTTCAGCTAAAGTGTTTGTGTATTTTTGAGCAACTGGATTTTGAAAACTAACTTCCTCAACGAAACCAGATACTGGAAAAGTTACTTTATGTTGTTAGGGAGGATAGTATTTTGAATCAGCTAGGCCTGCAGAAAGCACGCTTTCCTAAGTAATAACAAACAGCTTGTTTTTGGGGAATGAATAGTGACTACTCAACACATGATACCTGATTGGAAAAGGCAGGGACTCTGCACAGACTTAGTACACTTGTGCAGGAGGGACTAGATTCTGTGTCTCATGACAGTGGGTGTTGCAAAAAGAACTTTTATTTCTTTTTTTTTTGTTAAAGAAATAGTATCTTTAATTACCATGACAAGCTTTGTAACTGTTCAGAGGAAAGAAGGTTTCTGTTTGGCTGGGCTGCTGTCCTTGGTAATGTGGCTGTCCAAATTCTGGAGAAGGAAATATTTTTGGTCTTGTTCTTGCCCATCATCCAGTTTGCTGACAGAGGGAAGGGAATCTGACCGTTCCCAGTTATCTGGCTGGCTTTACAGAAGGGTGAGCAGATGAGAAGGCAGGGTACTAGTTAATTTTGCACCCCAGTTTTCATTCAGGATCTTCGTTCGACATGAAAATAGGCAAGTGGGCAAAATGTTTAAGGTTAATCCTGTGCTTACGTGTGACTTGTCCACGCCTTTCTTTTTCCCTCCCCGTTTCCGCAAGTTCTCTAAATATTTTCTCTCCCTTTGGCAGTGGTAGTCGCTCTTCCAAAACCTTCAAACCAAAGAAGAATATTCCAGAGGGGTCTCACCAGTACGAGCTGCTCAAACATGCCGAAGCCACGCTTGGAAGCGGTAATCTGCGGATGGCCGTTATGCTTCCAGAGGGCGAAGACTTAAATGAATGGGTTGCAGTTAACAGTAAGTCAACTCACCTTATTTTTTTAAGAGGGCTCATACTTGTGGGAGGACAACTGTGTGCTCCTTAGGCTCTTCTGTCCTGCACGCACCGCTCTGCTGCGGCTGGGAGAGGTCAATGTTGTATCCTTTAGAGCTGACAGATGTAGAGCGTCTCACCGAGACAGAAGCTCCTTGGTCTCCTTGTGCCAAAAATACGTTCCCGTTCACAAAATAATTCTTGTTCTGAGTGGTTGAAGTCTGAGCACTTGATCCCAAACAAGTGGTGAAGTAGGAATGTCGCTGCTGGTTTTAGTAAGTAGCCTGTCAGTGCCGTGGTAATATGTTTAATTTGGCTCGTTTTCAGCTGGGGTTATTACCCAGTGGTACAGTCAAGCGTCTACAGGCTAAGCATAAAACTTTAATTTAGGTAAGCGTGAGGGCCAGGTCTAAAAGATGCTCAAGACTAAAGTTGTGTGCATGACCTGGCCTCCCTTTTGCCTGAAACAGACCCCAAGATGGATATTTGCGGTTTTCCTAAAGTTAGTTCCTTCCTTTTGTTTCTACCAAGTTGTGAGCCTTTGCTCTGGTAGGTCTGATGTCATGATTTTGACTTCCTCTAGAGCTGTTTGTCCGAGCTCCCTCCTTTCAGACTGGCTCAGGCCAAACAATGACACCCAAATTAGTGGTTTCTCATTGCTTGACCATGTTTCTTCTGCCTTCTTCTCCCTGTGCATAAATTTGCTGCCTGCCTTCTGCGCTGAAAGAATGGATTAACCCGAGTCTTACGCTCCGTAGCCCGTGTGGAGTTTTGGCTGCCACTAACTCTGTGCCCCGTCTGGGTATTTCCTCATCTTTTGTGGCTTTGGCTCGGCGCGCTTCCGTGATTTTATGGTAGTGATTGTGCACTGCGGTGCTGAATAACTTTTGCTCTAGATAAATGGCTGCTGATTTTTTCTATGTGGTTCTCTCTATTTCTTCTTGCTCTTTGATCATAGAATCACAGAACGGTTTGGGTTGGAAGGGACCTCAAAGATCATCCAGTTCCAACCCCCCTGCCATGGGCAGGGACACCCTCCCCTACACCAGGTTGCCCAAAGGGGCATCCAGCGTGGCCTTGAACACTTCCAGGGATGGGACAGCCACAAGGTCTCTGGGCAACCTGTGTCAGTGCCTCACCACCCTCTGAGTGAAAAATTTCTCCCTTATATCCAATCTAAATCTCCCCTCTTTCAGTTTAAAGCCATTGCCCCGTGTCCTGTCACTAGACACCTTTGTAAAAAGTCCCTCTCCAGCTTTCGATACGTTTGGGAAGTGCAGCTGTCATACTGGCTTCAACCTTCCGGTTCTTAATTAGCCACACAGTTCTCTGGTATTTGACTTGCCACTGCTTCCAGGGCATGTTGAAATTGCTGACACCATTCTTTATAAAACTTTATTTACGTTGTGTTGCAAAACTGTCTAGAAAAAAAGTCAGCCCATTTTTATGAGTCAGCATTACTAAAGATGCTTCATGCATTGCTGGCATCCTTGCCTTGTGGTGGTTCCTCCGCTCCATGGCTCCTCTTTCCTGTGTGGCAGGGCTGTTTTTCCCTTCCCAAATATATCAACTGCTACATCAGCTGAGTGGCAAAAGGCAGCCAAGCGCTTGGCGAAAGAGTGGGAGCTGCCTTTTGCTAACAGCTGTGTTCTGTAATGAAATGGTCCTCTTGCATGCCTCCTGCAGCAAAGTGGGGGTTTAATTTTTTTGGTCAAGAAGTGGTTAACTGATTACGTGCTCCCTTCATTTACAACATCCCTCTACCACCCCTAGTAGCAGTTAATGGTAGCTGTGAGCCCCTTCTATTGATGAACTAATGAGGAAGTCAAGTGTGTGATTTCATGTCATTGATTTCACCCTTCACGATCCTGAGAGCACAGGTACGAATGTGCTTTGCTTTTCTCCTTTTTGTTCAACTCTTAGCCTTACTGATGTCTTATTATTAATAAGTTGACTTACATGTGGAGTTTTCAAATACGTTTTCAAAATGAAAAAGAGGTGACAAGCGTAGAATTGGTTTGTTTTGAGTTTCATTTGTAATCTCGATGAGAAAATTATAAAATTTCAGAAGTACCTCTTGCCCACACCTTTATAGTAGAACACCAGACAGTGTGCACTCTTTGAGTAGAAAGGCACTTGGAAAAAATCATCTAAACCTTTTGAAACTGAAGAACAATGAGTAAAAAGAGGAAATGAAAATACACAGAGACACTGTACAGCTTTACAGATGTTAGAAAGGAGGTTCTTGCCTTTTTCTTGTTTGTCACAGGCTGCTGGCTTTGGATGAGTGGTGTGTCTCTTGGCCTTTGGAGACTTGCAAGTGTGAGATTCACAATAATCAGTCATCTTGTCGAAGTCTGGGTGGCTTTTTTGAACATGCTTGCCTTGAAGGAGACATTGGGCTGCGGTTTCTATTTGGGAACAGGGAATGGAAACTTAATTAGCAGTTCTTGAGTACACTTAAGAAACAAGGGCTGTACTTCTCTCTGCCCTCAGTGTTAAAATGTTGTTTTCTGTTTTCTGCTTCTGCTGTGCAGGAGGAGAAAAAAAACTATTTTGTTGCTGGGTATGATCTGTACTAGGTGCATGTCATACCATTTTGGTTTTTATTTTTTGGCTTCCCTTTTTTGGTACTCGGCAAGTTGCGTGATACAGTTGTAGCTTGTATCCTGCATCTGCTGAGGAGTAGCTGTAACTTTCTGCCACTATGTTCATCGAATCTTTGATGTTTATTCTCTGGAAAAATCCGTGAGGGAGCTCCACTGTTTAACCCTCCCTTTCCTTCAGCTATCAGTTACTTGAACAGTACTTGGTGTCTGCTAGTGCTCATATTTAGGATGTCATTACAGTGAAACAAATTTGGGTAGGCTACCCAGTCATGTGCTGGCTTTCAGTAATGTGCTTATCTCCATTGCAGCATAAGGGAGACAGGAATATGTAGTAAAATGGATATTCTGGAAACACATCATTCGTTTAGTTAGTCGTAAGAATTTAACCCAGCTTTCTTAAAATTCGATTTCCTAGTGCTTAATTTTGGTCACCTTTCAGTTTTACTCAGGACAGGGGTTGTCTGACAGACGTTTTGAAAAAATGAGCTTCTATGTTGATACCCTGGTGCTGTGCTGTGCTCCCTAACAGGTGCAACGGGGACTGTTCATTGAGAGGAGAAAAAATTGATTTTATTAACTCAATACAGTGACCACAGTTCCTAAGAACTGAAAAATAACTGAGAGAGAGTAGATTTGGATTAGATCTAAGGAGGAAATTCTACCCTCTGAGGGTGGTGAGGCACTGGAACAGGTTGCCCAGAGACCTGGTGGCTGCCCCATCCCTGGAAGTGTTCCAGGCCAGGTTGGATGAGGCTTTGGGCAACCTGGTGTAGTGGAGGGTGTCCCTGCCCATGGCAGGGGGCTTGGAACTGGATGATCTTGGAGGTCCCTTCCAACCCAAACAGTTCTGTGGTTTTTAAGAAATGTTCTTTGGAAAGATAGTCTTTTGGAATACAAAGCCTGATGGATGTCAGTGTCAGCTAATGACGGTAACGCTGCTCTCTGATCAGGAAGCTCACATTGAAAATCTTTGTTTTATTCCAGACTTGCCAGTATAATTTGGGATTCTAATAAAACGCACCAAACTTTCGGATAAGGAAACAAATCAGCTTTCTGTTTCCCTTTTTTGTTTTTGTTTTTTTCAAATGAAGGTTTTGGTGCAGTGAACAATTAAATAGTTCTTGCCAGAAGCTGTCTAGAGCTGGTGATAGCTTTCTGCTTCTCCTTTATAACACATCTTAAAAAACAATGGCTATGAGATCCCCCCTCCCCACCCCCAAAAAAAAATACTCCAGGACCCTCTTCAGCAGTGTGTGTTTGACAGTTAAGGCTGTAGGAAGCTTGTGTTGCCCTTAAACTGCAGAGTGTTAACTGATGGTTAAAATGCTTTCCAGCTGTTGACTTCTTCAACCAGATCAATATGCTTTATGGAACCATCACGGACTTCTGCACCGAGGAGAGCTGCCCCGTCATGTCTGCTGGCCCAAAGTAAGAGAATTTTTTACGTGTTGTCAAGTGTAATGTTTTGGAGATGTTTTTGCATTTGGAAACTTGAAACTAGCTCAGATGAGTGCCAA